ATTCATACTGACAGAAATGATATTGCTGGAATTTGGGAGGAATTTTTACAAACAATAAGATTGATCTAACTGTATAGAGAGAAAAATATCTGCCTACCCAAAAGAATGGAGGAAGAAAATATATTCTCTTTCATTGTCTTCTTATGGATTCAGAACTCTACAGAATGTATCTTTGCTTCCAGACCATTCTTACTTTCACCCTTCATAAAGAACCCGCTCTTTGAGACTCATGCATTTTTGTTATACTCTCTGCCCCTTTCTTGTTGCTATAGTCAAATGAAATGGATGCCTGTGTCACCTGGCCCACAGTCTTCTTCTCCACGTTAAAGCCTGCCATCCCCCTGAAGGGCTTCGGTGTTCCAGCAAAACCAGCCCTGCAGTTAGTTACCTGGTCTACCAGTTCCAAGTAACCTTCTCTTCCACTTCCAACTCAGATACCCACAACCCAAGTCCGTTTTTGTTATCATCCACAATTGTTCCACCTCCAAAAGCACTCATTCAAGTATTTTGCTTTCTCACTACAACTTCTCCTTCCACCTTGTTCAACTTCTCCCCTGAAACAATGTTTTGGCCTCGTTAGACCACCAGCCCACGGATGTATCTACAGGGCTCTTCCAACATGTAAATGATCTCCTTTCTTTCATAGCACTCTTGCCAGATCCCAATCACCTTAAATACCTGACTTCAAACCCTAAAATCTAGATAAAAGCAAAACCAAATGTATTTAACAAAGTTTGATGGAAAGAGGAGAAAAGACGAAAGGCAAAGCCCTCCGCTACTCAGCTTTATATCTTCCCCCTCCTAGTCGAGCATCTTCAAGATCCATTACTATCTATTTTTTTTTCTGCTTCCTGCTGGTAAATATGAGCCATACCCTGCAGCACACACCACCTGAAGAAGCAGTACTTCCTGGGACAGACCACACTGAGACCTGGCTCCACTGGCTTAGAAAAATTAAGGGTAAGTAGTAAAAGAGCATGAGAAGAATAAACATATTTTTCAAGAAATCTGCTTCAGATAGGCCTTTGCCTCCATGCTATCCTCTAGCAGGAGGAGGTGGTTAGCCAGCCTGAGATTTTCACAGGAATCTATGGGTTTGTGGTTCTCAAGAGCATCTGCCCAAATGTCCCTATACCAGGTCTTTGACTTTAGCATCTGAGACCAGCTAGGACTATTAATTCAATCTCTTGTAACTCTGCCAATCTTATCATCAAATGTCAGGCCTCGTTTTCAGTACAGGTGGCTCTCTAGTTGCAGGAGATGAGACTCTTTAAATGTTGCTCTGTAAGCTTTCTGCTGAAGTGCCTTAAACAAGTAGTTATTCTCTCTGACCCTGTCATTCTTTTTGTGTGAAACTTCTGTAGCAGTTAACAGATGCAAATCATCTCCATTATTGTTACAATAAACACAGTGCCCCAACTCTTTCAAATGCTAAAGCTATCACATAAACCAGCACTTCCCGTTCTTCTGTGTTCCATCCTTGTTCCCTAACCACTGCACACAGTATGAAAATTCAGTCATGTAGTAAGACACAAAGTGAATATATCAACTTATACATAGAAAAAATAATCAATTAGAAGACACAGTGGGGAGAATATCTCATTTATAATACCAATAAAAAGAGATTTCCTTAAATGCCTGCTATGTAAATTAGCATTAGGTCTGGCTACATGCAACATAAAACCCAAATAAACAGTGGCTGAGACACACAAGTGGTTATTGTTTAATGTGAAAAGTCCACTGGTCAGAAGCCCAAGACTAGAGTAGCAGTTGCACAGATCCCTAAGGGTCCCGGGCTCCTTCCAGCTTTCTGGTCCAGCCGTAGTGTCCCATTCTTACCGTAAGAAAGAGGAAAAAGAAGAACAAGCCTTCTCCTTTAAAGAACACGCCTCAAAACTGCACTTATCACCTCCATTTATATCGCACTGTCCAAAACTTAGGCAAGACCAAGCTTGACTACAAGGGAAGCTGAAAAATAAAGCTTTCTATCTTGGGTAGCCAAGTGCCAGCTAAAATTCAGGGCTTCCACTGCAAACAAAGAAGGAGAGAAATGATACTGGGGACAACTACAAGTCTCTGTCACACCTTGGAACATCTAAGAAGAAATATTAAGCTCTCCAAAGAAATACTTTTTAATTGCCTGAGAGATACAAAAGAAGATCCAAACAAATGAAAGAGTACATCATTTTCTTGGGTAAGCAAAGAGAAACTTTACCTAATAAAATTTAGGCAAATAAGTTGTAATAGCCATGAATTTTAATGTCTCAAATAGTGTAACACCACCATACATAAAACAAGACTGTCAAATATATGAGTAAATAACAGAAACACAATTACAGTAATAAATTATAACCTTTGCCAGAGCAAATAAACAAAAATAAGGTTATAACTATTTTTAATAATGGAATAAATAACATCCAGATGTCAGCTAAAGTCATCTTCCTGTCAAAAATAAAATTGGCAAATGCCCATGTTACATGTCAGGCAAAAAGGTTCAGTGGCCTCCCCAAGCCTTCTGGGAAATTCCTTTCCTTCTCAGGATTCCCACTAGTCTTGTTCCTGCCCCTGAATCTGGTTAGATTCTTGCTTTCCGTCTCATTCTCCTTTTTCCACTGTGCATAGGTCCAGACATGGGACACAGATCTGTTTCTTCATTTATCTAACAACTGCTCATAAAGGACTTTTTTTGTTTATAGTCAACTTAACTGAAAGTTTGGGCCAGTGACAAGAAAACTACTTACACATACTTGGCAGTTTGGTAACTCCACTAGCATGAATTTCACCCATTTTTCTGGTAAATCTAGCTTCTTGCCTTGTTACCTAGCTCTGCTTCCCCCAGGAAAGCTGCGCTAACATTTTCCTGTTGCTCTGTTTTCAGGGCCATTCCATTCTGCCTTATCTCAGAAAATAGCATGTGCTCTCCTTTAAAGAACACTCCTCGAAACTGTACATGCCACCTCTTTACACTGCACTGTCCAAAACTTATCAGTCAAGTGTCCAAAGGTTATTGAATCTGTCTATAACATCCCTAAAGAGTGAAATGGAGGAGTTGATAAATACTGAAAGCGCTTTTTATGTTTATGCTGCACCCAGCTGATAACAACCCCTTAAAACACAGTGCTTATTTAGATTTACACAAAACAGAAACAAACTAAAACATAACCTTCTTCATTCATTTCCTTTTTCTCTCCATCCAAACTCCCTTCAGGGTTCCCACACTGTGACAGGACTCCTGTTGCTTTATGCTGGTTTATGCTACTCTTCTGGTTAACACCAACAGGCTGCGGGTGGTGGCCTCTGTGTGAAAGGCATTGCACGAATTCATCTCTCATGGAGCTCTCTTGTGTGTTGAGTTATTCAACCTGTCTTGAGGCTGTTCTCTGCCATGGGAGTTCAAGCCTGTACTTCCAGGTCCTTTTCTTGGCATGTCTTAATATCATGGTAAGGGGTCCTAAGCTATCTCATATGGCACCTACGCAATCATTCCTTGGTGATAAATTTACTGTTAGTTAATTTGTTTCCAAGTCTATGTAAAAGATATTGTACACTGCTGAATTAAACAATGCAAAGAACCAAAAGCTTATTTCCTAGGACAGATACAAGTTGGTGGGTACTGGTTTATGTAATTTCATTTTACTTATAAGTAGAGTTCTGCAGATTTTGTTTTACTTTAATACAAGTATTTTTCCCCTTCAGGTAAAAGTATATTTTTAAAATAATATTTAAACTTATATACATATTGTTGCAAACTTTACTTCTCATCATTTTACTTCTCAACAAAGATAAGGTCTCTAATTTCTAATTTCACTCACCTCAGTTGCCACCCCCAAGACTCACTACTATGTATTTGCACAGGAAGTTAGCTTTCCAAAAGTTCAGAGATCAAATCATATCTGATAAGCAAATAATCCAATGGTCTGAGTTAAACATAGAAAAATTAATAGAAGCTTTGAAAGTTCAGTCTTTTGTTTCTCATCCCACTCCAATCTCTTTCCCAATCAATAAAAGTATACATCATTTTTGCCATCCTCTCAGAAAGCAAAAGCAATTACAATTGTTTTGTATTAAATAAAATCCCCCCATCCAATATAATTAGGCATACCAGAGTATGCAGATGAAGAGACAATAAGCCAAATTTATCCCATAAACAAAGCTGAGGCTGAAGAAGTGTATCCGTACAACTATTTTTTTTTCAATATTTGAGTTTATGTCTTGGTATGTGATCTCCCTGCCACCTAATTGGCACCACTCCCTAACGAATTACATCTGGCAGCTGAGCACATTATATAACTTACCTGATTTCTGAAGGTAGTTTGTATTGACCTGAAACAAATTTGAACATATGGATGCATGTATGTACATCTCCTATCAACAGGGAATATGCCTTCTTTTCAAGCATACATAAAACATTTGTAAATATTGTTTCAAGAATGGAAAACAAATCAACGGAAGATTAGAGACTATCTTAAAACCAATAAAAATTTTAAAAGATCATAATAAATGAAAAAGAAGCATTGCAAACTAATGCATATGAAGGAATTATCCAAAGGTTTAGGGGAAATTATACTTTTGAGGAACAGATTAAGTTGGATCAAAATTTCAAACGATTATTCATTAAAATAAGTTTCATTACAAAATAAAAGCAGAGAAGAGAAATATGACTATTTAACTGATCTTAGAATGGATAAGCACTTTCTAAACATAGACACAAATAAAATACATAATTAGGAAATGTTGCTAAATTTACCCACATAGACCTTGAAGCCCTCTGAAGGGTAAAACCTCATAAAATTATGGGATAATTAAAATTGAGAATGTTATTTATACTAATGACAGACATTTAATATCTGCCATATTAAAAACTCACTAAATTTGTAACAAGGGCTCTAGAACTTCTATTGAAAACTGACAAAGAATATGAATAGAAAATTCATAGATGATATATAAATGGTTAATTAAATATAAAATAAAATATTTAAGTTATTAATAAATAGGCATACCAACTAAAAGAGAAAAAACCTTGATTGCGCTGTCTAACTGTCCTCTTCTCAAGTTAACAGTCCCGCCAGGAGTGTAGTGTGAAGGGTCTCTCACACCCAGCTGGTGGGATAAACTGGTATAAACTCTCTGGAAAATAATTAGACAAAATGAACAAACATTAGTAAATGTACTTCTGTTTAACCTAAAAGAAATAGTCTCACAGATGAGAATAAAGGTTTATATCAAAGGAAGTTCATGACAAGACATACATTAAAGCAAATACTGGAAACAATCTAACTTCCGATAGAAAAATAATTAAACAAATAATTTTTGAAGAATATTAAATGACATGGTAAATGTTTTAACATAATATTAGATGTAAATGTATGGGTATTCATATATGTCAACTAATAAAAATTCAAAATCAAATTAAAAATCACAAAGGAAGTAAAATATTGAATATATTTAGGTAGTACAATGACAAAAGTTTTACTTTTTCCAAAAAAATCATCCAATGTTTTCTAAATTTTGTAATAATATGTGTGTATTATAAATATTTTTATAAAGTGCGGATTGAGTACTGAGCATTGTTTTCAATGGTTTAGAAATCTCTAATGGAAACACCTAAAATACAGCTTTATATCACTGTGGGTTTGCCACTACCATCACAGCACAGAGTTTAAACCTATTTACATCTATCTACACTGAAGCATTTACTACAAACCTAAGTGTCAGAGACAGGCAGGAGGACAAGGAATTTTCTTGCCTTTTACAAGTGTCCAGGCATCAGCAGACAGTCAAGCAAATCAACTATGAGAATACAGTGCGCTAAAAGCTGTAACTGAGGTATTCACAGCATACGGTGCAAGCACAGTTGAAAACCATGACTTTACCCTAGAGGAAGGTGTTGGAAAACTTCCACAGAGAAGGTCACCTATGATCTGACTCGTTCTTCTCCCTCATTCCTCGTTTTTTTTCTTCCCCCAGTATGTTAGAGACTGAGGAGATACAGTAAAGAGATAGAACCCTTAAATTTGGCAACACAGTTATGTTATGAGGGGTTCTTGAAGTCAGCTAGAGAAAGGATCATTCTTACTATATTAAATCTGAAAAATCTAAGAACCCTTCCTAATACATAGAGGAGGAAAATAACCCCCGGGGGAAACCAGAAATTGGGGGTGTTCAGAATTTTGCTACATCTTAGGCATAGAACTGGAATCCTAGGGGGCAGGATTTTCTCTTCAAGAAAGGTCAGACTGTCCAGCTGCAAGTTGTACGCAAGACTGACAGCCTCCAGCCATCAACTATATCAAGATCTGTTCCAGCTTTCCAGCTGAGGTCACTCTTTTCTGAGGGTGGAGGGAGCTAAACAATGACTGAACAAGACAGTGATACAGAGGCTGACTATTTCCACCTAATGTAGGACCCCTCTACCAGACAGCCATGCTCTAGACCCCTCGGTTGGGTGTCATCAGGTCAGCATCACAGACCAATGGCTTCCTCTCATTCATTTCTGCCTCATTTTCCCCTCCTTCCCCTTTTGCATTTCTATCCAGTCTCCATATCTACCTCCCAGAGAACCCAACCATCACAAGGAAGATGAATCAAAGAGGCCCAGAGAACTGTGGGCAAAAAAGAGAAAAGGAACACCAGAAAGAAAAAGAAACTGGCCTCTCACGAGATGACCTTGGCCAACAATAATATAATTTTCTTTCTGGTAATATCCTCTAGGCTATTGTAGGCATTAATAAAAAGCATACAAGGCACAAGTGAGGTAACAACGTGAACAGCAGTCAGGAAGAATTAGAACATTAAGGAAGAGTTGCCAATTAGTTGGTTTGGGTGAATAAAGAAGAAAAATATATATTGGGACATGACAAGAATTCAAAAGGAAAGTTAGGTGCTAGATCATGGAGAATGCTGCACTCTAAGTCAAACTACATGAGCATCTTTCCTTTCAACTTTCTTAAATATCTTTTTTTTATTATTCCATTATTTCTACAGTCTTACTCAAGGACAACGAAATTACAACATGAAAATCTTGAGTGAAATTTATTGATGATAGCATACTTTCAGTGAATATTAAAAATAAAATCAAGTATCAGAGAAGGACGCACTTTCCAAGGACTGCTAGAATATTTTCTTATCTGTATGTCTGGCATAACATTTCATAGGCACACATTAAACTATTAATTCCAGTGATCACAAAACAAGTGGCAATTTGAGCACACATAAGATTTAGTTAGGATATGTGTTTAAAGGTTTTTATCATTAGTGTGCTCTCAGACAATAACAATTTCTCTGTGATGTGGTCTATCTCAGATCAAAGTTTCCAGGTGTCTTTACAAAACTATATGTAATCATCTATCCAGAGATCTCTTCTTTTCTGGGACAGAAGTCTGCCTTTCAGATGTGTCACAATCACTTAACCGTGACTCACAACCACTCCGCGTGGACACCTCCATGAAACTGATCATTGTTTACAAGACCTTGGAACCAGGCTAGTTCCTCACAGCCTCTGTGTCACTGTTATCTATCACATAACAATAAGACAGTAAGTACATAAATTCATTTTGTTTCAAGTGTTACTAAGGACAGGAGAGCTCAAATAGTCTATCAGGTATTCTCCCAACTGGGTATTTTCCAGTGACTTATCACGGCCCTTCTTGTTGACACTTCCTCGTAAAACATTCCCAATATAGATGTCTGTGTCCAAGGTCATGATTCAAACGGGCTTAAGCAGAGAACTGCTTGAAAAAAAGGGTTTTGTCTTACCATTCTCTGTATCTGTGATGCCTAAGGCAACTAGTAGATAGCAATTTCTTTTTTTTTAATTAAATTAATTTATTTTTTAACAGAGGCACTGGGGATTAAACCCAGGACCTCCTGCATGCTAGGCATGTGCTCTATCATTGAGCTATACCCTCACCCCAGCAATTTTTAATTTTCATTTCAGCTTTGCAAATCAGAAATATCTTCTCTGAAAGTAGAACAACATGCATTGTTCCAACGATTACGCTCATGCACTAGAAATGGAACTTAAAAAGGAAAAATAAAAGCAAGAGCTAGGTAATATTTTTCATAAGGTTTTTAAAACAGTAAATGACCCATAAGAATCCATCCTCAGTGGCTTTCTCTCATCCACTTACATATGGTTAGCCTCTGCAAAGCCTGGTATGTCATGGGCCTAGCATGAACTTCAGAGTGTGGGTAGCTATCATCTGTAAATACATTGCACTGCCCCAGAATTAATTTCTCTAACACTACTGAAAGTTTTGTGGTTGTGCATGTTTATTACCAACAGGTTTAAAATGTCAGCCTTGGTTTATTTTCCACCAAAGTCATTTTATAGCATGTTTTTTGCCTCCATAAGGATTATCATCAAATTAAACTAATATGAACAATAAAAAATAAAGAAAGAAAAGAAAGCTGATGTGGATAAGCTTAACCAAAATTGCCAAAGACAACAAAAGGTAAAAATGTAGATGCCACTTGAGTCACCTTCCCTTTCTGTTTTTCTGCCCACTCCTCCCCTTTCTTCAAGTATTTCCATGGATTAATTATACTAAAGAGATTAATGCAATAATGCCCTGACGCTTGTTCTTTGGGAGCATGAGCATCAATTACAGCCGTGCAAATTTTTAAAAGGTTTCATCTGAGAGATTAGCTAAAGCAGAGATGCAAAATTTTAAAAAAGAATACTTTTTAGAAAAATAGACAAGTAAACAAAAGTAGAACTTAACCATCTAAGGAAATTACAAAATTAGTAGATTGTTTGATATTTTTCTTCATATCCTTTAATCAACAACATGATAGTTGACTATAAACATGCAGGCTACTGTTGACCAAAATGCAGAATAAAAATCTAGTTTAATTTGAAGCAAGAAGGTGAATAGGCAAAATTTTATTTAAGAAATCCTTTGGTTAAATTCATCAGAATTAAATAAGATTCTTCTCCTGTTTGTACCTCCCTTTGATCTTTTGCTACCCTTCAAACAAATTATTATGATTTCCTATTACTGAAATAGTATATGTCCTTTAGACAACATTCAACATGAGAAAGTTCTGCATATCTCTATATTAACACTTACCAATTATACTGGCACATTTATATGACTCCCTCTACATAATATAAGTTCTTCTAGCCAAAAACAGAAACTTTGAGCCTCCAGTGCCTTAAACAGTAAACAGCACATCTTAAAGGCTTAACATACGTTTTTTGTTAAACAAATAAAAATACCTACAAGTCTATCACTAAGAGTTATTTACTTGTATTTTTCTATACTCTTAATTTTTATTTAATTATTTCTAGATCACTCTTTTAAGTTGGAAAATAATTCTAAAAACTTATTACAAGAGAACTCTAACATTCAAAAAGCCCTCAAGAGTCAAACAAAAGAACCTCAAGTGGTAGAAATGAAGATCCTATAAAAGGAAGATATTTCAGAAAGCCAGAGAACTTACTCTCATTGCTATAACTGTGGCAACCACTATGCCACTTCCTTGTAATGTTACCCCTCTGCAATTAAGATAAGGAATCAAGATTTTCACTATAAGAGAAAAGAGATACAATATATAATTCAGGAAGGTAAGGAAGAGACATGTTATATTACATGTGAATGGAAAATATCAGTATGGGCTTAGGCTTTTTTTATATGTTTTCTAGCTCTTTTCATTAGAAGGATGTAGAAACAATGACATCTCTGTAACATTAAGCACATTTTGTGTCCAGATCTTGTATTCTAAACACCATCTTGTATTCCACCAAAAGAAACCAGAGAAACTTGGAGAAATGCTTATTCCAGGTATAAGTCAGGGAAAATACTGAGTAGAATCTGAGAAATCTTCTTGCACTAGTAAAAGAAAAATACTCAGAGACTAGTGGGGTTGTATTAGTTATCTGTTGCTGCAAAACAAATTACTCCTAAACATATGGACTTAAAACAGTAAGTATTAATTATCTCCTCACTCAGTGAGTCAGGAAATCTGAGGGTGGCTTAGCTGGGTCCTCTGACTCTCCCAAGGCTGCAAGGAAGTTGTCAGTCAGGCTGCAATCCCCTCAGGCTCATCTGGGGGAGGAGTCATTTCTAAACTCACTGATGTGTCTGTTGACAATACTTGCTTCTTCATGGGCTGTTGTACTGAAA